CCCGAGATCACCGGGTGTAACCGACGGTCCCGAGATTACCGAATGTAACCGTCGCGAGATTAGCGGGACCGCCACCCATAAGTAGAGGACCTCACTCCCCGATCAGGTACGATGATTTCTGGCTTCGGACTAAACTTGGAATCCGACCTATACTGACTTGATCGTCGGAGTGCTCACCTTTTTGTGCAGGTTCGCCCAAGTGTTCAGGTCGGTACGGAGGCCGAGTTCGAGCTACAATCAGGAACACACTGTTGTGCACATCTTTGCATAAACATCTGTTTTTTTTAAAGTGCTATACTTGAAAAAACTAAATGTGGTTGTTATTTTACTAATTTTACTAAATGTTCTTGACATATTTACAACTGTCCATTTATATATTCATGGTTTGACATCAACGTGTGGGTGAATGACATTTTCATTATATTATAAAAAATTGACAAAATATAAAAAAATATCCCCGATACAGACATAATCTTAATAACAAAAAATTTTAACTGCTCTTTTTTTAATTAAATTTTTTTACACATTTTTTAGAAATATATATTTAATAAAACTGAGACCTCAACATCTTTATTGATATTTCATAAAACCGAGACCTCAACATTTTTATTGATATTGAAATTTAAAATATTGTCTGTTATTGGATTTTTATTTATTCATTATAATTACTTTGAAAATATAAATGTGGGAATCAAATTATATTTAAAAAATCATTAATTATTATATGTGAATAGTAAACTTAACAAAACAATATAAAAACACGTGAAAATAGCAAAATACCATTTATGTTTTCTGCCATTCATGTTTTGGATATTGTCTTTAGAAACTATGTAGCCATATAATTTTCAACATCAGAAATCTATTTTATTTTAAAATTATAAAACTATTTTTAGAAGTGTTTTCCAAACAACATAGTCACCATTCAAATTTTTGTTCGAACTTTCAACTTTATTCATTTTTGCCTTTAAAGTATTAAAATATTAATTTTTGTTCATAATTACAAAATAAGCATTCAAATTTTTTTTTAAATTTTATTTTAGTATATGAACTTTTGATTTTATTCCATTTTGTGATTAAAAATTAAAATGTCAATTTTTGTACATAACTTTAGAAAAAAACCATTTTCTCAAGATGTCCATTCTATTCCATGAAATTTTAAAAATAATGATTTTTATCTTTTACATTAAATTTCCACCTAATATCCATTCATCTAATATTTGTCTCAACCAATTTGTATGATTCAAATATATTTCCAGCACATTAACAGATATGTTTGGGGAAGAGAATACCATGGACACGTGGAGGACCCCTATTGGTGCTCCAAGATGACTCATGAGTCATCCCCAGCTTGGACCGCCGAGATCACCACCACTAGCGTTGACAGATGCTAAGTATAAGGGCCGAGGTGAACCTGGCCGAGGTCC